TAAATGAAATACAACGAATAATAAACTTACACTGATTTATCAATGAAACTAATAAAGGAAATATTTTATTTTTGGTAACTAAAAGTTTGTTGATTTTTAGGCTTGGGCCTAACTGCAGGCATAACTTCCTTCGACTCTAAAATAAATATAATTGGGTGAAGTATTTTAAATCTAAAAGCATTTGGATTCAACTAGTATCTAATTATCAATGATTGTCGAATTATGTACACTATATGAACACTATAAGTGCACTCTAATGCCAATAACACAATCATAAGCTCACTAAATCCAGAAAAACTTCATCAGCTCCGCCAGACTAATTGGTTGACGATTCTGCAGTGCCATTGTCATCCTCAAATGTGCTTTTCAAATTCTCACTCATTCGACTGTCAATGCAGTTGCTGTTTGCTGGGGTGCGGGTATGATATGATATGTCAATCAATCATGTTCCTGTGATTGATCTCAGTGGGCATCAGTCGTGTAGTTTGTCAAATCGAGAAAGTTCAGCTGGCTGGCTGGCTCAACGCCTCATTGGGGACTAATAAATGCAAAAGTTTCGCCGAAGTACGAGCTGAACAAAATTTTAATGAGTCGATTTGGTTCCTGTTCTTAACTAAAATCAAATTTCAACGATTCCGCTCGTTCGCAGCAAAATCGATGACCTTAATTGGAAGTGAACTCAATATGCTCCATCATGACGCTTCACTTCATCGTTAACGCACATCGGCTAGGATCCACTCGAGGCCAAACACATGTTGGCAATCCATGATAAATGATTACTTATAATGCCGTTAACGCATAAGACCGAGATCCTTAGGCCGGAAAAAACGAAACCGAATCAACTGGCCATAAAATCGTCAGCCATTTATGTCTATATCGATGGCTTCCAATACGACATAAAAATTCCATTCAGTCCTCGCCCACTTTTTCCCATTTGCATTATGTTATATGTTATTGATTTTATGACGCAAGCCCGTATTTTCTTTTTGACTATGGTCTGCCTTTAAATACAGGGCCATTTAACTGTGGGCGTTGTTAATTTTTGTCCATAAACGAGCTTAATTGGCCAAATTATGTGTGAGAGCAAAGCAAAGGGTTAGCAGGAAAAAATACTCGTACATCCCGCAAAAAGTGAGGCGGAAAAAAGCAGAGTCAGTAGCAAAAAAGTAACCGAGTTTAACTATGGTTTTTTGCTTTGAAATTTAATAAAACCAAGGTTACTCTTTCAAGGGGGTTTTCCTAATAATAATAAGTTAATATTCAGATATGCTATGCTCTTTTTCTAAAGACTTAACCATCTATGAGTAAGTTTTCAGTGTCCTCTTTTGGTTTCAAGTTCCATAGGAATTCCAAAGGACTCTCAACCACAGTATGTATTCTGCAAAAGAGAGAAGGACACACAAAACTGCTGCCAATTGCAGTTGGCTTGCGGCTGGAATACGGTGGTTCTATTTTGGCTTGGTGGCGGCGGTGACGTTTAATTTGAAATGAAATACATCATGCTGGCCAATTATTTGAGCAATTTTGCAAATTAGTGGCCCAAGTCATTTCGGCTAGCCCCCAAAAATGGCAATTACCACTCGCCCCCACCGCTTTTGTGCCCATTTTTGGGGGCTGGGTTAAATGGTTTTAGCCCACTTTTCTGCAGTTGGTGCTGTTAATTACCAAACAAAAGACAAAATTGGATAGAAAGCGAAAGCCTGAACTGCAAGTGCAACAACAAGTGCCTGCCGGGTTCTGTGGGCAAGGTTAACAGCTTGACTTTTGTCAACGCCGTCTCAAGTGGGCCACTTCAGAATATCGCACGCACGCTGAATGGCTCATGAGCCCGGCTCCTCCCGGGTCCTGGCCATGTTGGTGAGCATTTCGGGCAAAACAATGGCGCCAGCCAACGAAGGGTGAAATCTGAATGGAATTTAGACACAAGGCTCACGCAACAACAACAAAAAATAGCAGGAACAGTCAAAGCGGGCCACACAATGAAATTTTAATTAAGTCTGAGCCGGGATTCGCTTTGTGCTGATGCAGCCGAATGAAAATGCCACTGATTATGTTTGTACACCCGTTTCCCCTCTATGAGAGAGTTGGGTATGCAGGACTAAAAGGACTCTCTTATAAAATAAAATCTTTAAAAGCTATAAAGTGCTTGTTACAATATTGTTTAGTATGTTGAAACCCCTTTAATAAAGCTCCTTTAACCAAACCCCTAAGAGGTATAAACATTCCTAACCCTTTATAAATTTCATGCTTAAATGGCTCTTAAACAGCTGAAATGCTGGTATATACACACATACATATATTTGTTTGCGATTTTTCTGTGTATATAGTATGCATTTGCTCTTCTCCTTTTACTTTCCCCCCTCTCACAGGACGCTTTTCACATTTTCCCCTCGACTTTCCCGCCACTTTTCCCTTATCTTGCGATGCATTCGTTTGTTGCTTTTGTTTGCCTCTGAATGGCTACACAAATACAAAACGTCTGCACATTGTATCTTGTTTAGTATGAAACATAAATGCATTTGTGTAATTACACAACATACATAACTGTATCCAGTCAGCCTTGTTTCGGGATGTTGGCTGGTCTTGGCCAAATTGGGATGGGCTAGGCTGTGCTGGGCTGGGCTGGAATCGGGCTGCAAGCACGCTCTCTAATTGAAGTAAATGGGCTAAAGGCTTGCCAAAGTTATTCGCACTGGGAGTGTTCTTTAGCTAATGATTGTTAATGGATTCATTAGAAAGCTCTATTTTTCTGTTCACCCAACTCAGAGGAGGCTTGAACTTAAAGGACTTCTTAAAGATACAAGTTATGCTTGAATCTTGAATCAGTATTAAAGTGTTTTGATTTCAAATATTCGACTTTAATAACAAATGATTTCAACAATTGCCTTCGTAATCGAATCGTTAATTATGCCGCCCAGCATGCAACAGGCCAAGTCAAAAGGTGTGGCTTCTGGCTCGGCTCTTACTTAGTTTTCATTACGAATTTTGGCGAAGCACGTGATGGGCATAAATAAATGAAGACAAATAACTCTTTCGCTCACAGCCGGTTGAACTCTGACTAACCCCACGATTTGTATGCACAGACTGACCAAGGAAATGTAATACAATGGAAAAATTACTCGTTGCTTACCTCCGGATCGGCTTCGTCCTGCTTCCGTCTCCTTATTTAATTAAGCACTTAATTATTTAATGCGCTGATTGTGCAATATTTCAAAGGACCCAGCCCAGTACATGACTCTGCTTAGCTCAGCTTGGCCAATGTCCTTTGAGAGTGTGTATTAAAGTGACCCAAAACCGGACAAAATACTTATTAAATTAAATGGAAACTTTAACTAGATCTGGATAAAATCAGTTATTGATTTTCACAAGTCTAAAAGTCTTTTGTTAAGTATTTTTTGGCACTCCTAAGGTTCACCCTTATTAGAAGCAGTGTGGTCTGGTCATGTGAGTGCGTTGAGGTGTCATAATTATCGCATTGGGTGACCAAAATTTAATCACAGTTGTGGAGCATAGTTTAAGCCAAGGTGTGGCACTGTGTTTCCGTTTGATTGCTTTTCCCTGGACTTTAATTGAATTAGTTGAAGTCATGAAATACTCTTGGAGAGTACTAGAGCCGGCGGACATTAGTTTTTGAGGATATTTTTCCTTGTCCATGATGTCCTTATGGCATTTGCCTTCAGCTACAAAATTTTAATAAACTCTAGCATTGAGCTTGTAGCAGTTGCATTTCCATTCCATATGCTGACACCGTCAGCCCCATTTCTCTCTAATTAAACTTTACGAATGAGCCAACATTGGCCTCGCCAACGCCTTATTAAGCATTTTCATTGTCCTGCAGTCGTCCAGCTGGCACCACACTTGTAATGAATGCTTCCGGGCGACTCCAAGGGAATTAAAATCAAACACAGGGTCGGGGCGGGCCTTTGAGATGATTTTAATTGGTGTTGATAAATCCAATTAAATGTATTTAGATTTACTTAGAAAGAAATCATCTCGCCCCAGATAACACAGAGCTTGCAACTAAAATGTTCAGTTGTTTATTTACATTAATCTCTGGACCTGTCCATGCATTCATTATTCAATCAGCAGTTTTCAATTAATGGCTAAGACAACATGCCCCGCTGACCGAATCCCAATTCCATTAAAACACGAATCAATTTAATAGAGTTCTGGCCGTACTCCTCCTCCGTTCAAAAACTCACTCCCTTCGCCGTGTTCCGGAAGATAAAACAAATATTGGTTCTCCTCGCGCTGGTTGCACGAGTGTTGCAAAAAATAAAAATGCAAAAAAATGGGAAACAAAATCAATTGAAAATGTTTGCTGCACTCAAATTAAAAACACAAACAGACCAATTCGAGCTAGTGTAAGAGTGAATGTAAACAAAATGGCAAATAAATTTGATTTGTATGCAACAAACGGTTGCAAAGCGAAATAAACACCCTCGATGGGAGTAGGGAGGCCTCGCCAAAGCGAAGAAATTTATGCGTTTCGTGCATTTAAATTTGTAAAGCTAGTGTGGCTTACAGTCTCTTCTTTTTTTTTTAGCCCTGGCACACATATTCTCAGCCTTGTTGTGCGGCTGAAAATTTGCGCTATTAATATTTGCATTCAACTGGCAACAGCCCAAGTACTGCCAGTCCTGGCTGAGACCCCGGCTCTGGCTCTGGTTGTGGCGCCCCTCTCTTGACACTCCCAGAAACTATGAACACATCTCTGCCAGCGGCATTGTCAGATGACAATGGCCCTTTTGGGTGGCGAGGGGCTCTGAGGAGGCTGCACTGGCTGGGGAGGGGGCGTAGCAATGGTGCGTATTACGGCCGCAGCATGTGAGGCAATGGGGTCTTTCTATATTTAAAAAGGCTCAAGCGGCACTTAACTTCTGCTCAAAGAGTGTACTACAAAGTACGTACCAGGGTAGAGTACAGTGGGAGAGTTCTATAAAATATGGAAGTAGAATATCCTGTTCTTGAAACAATGTTTATCTTAATGTTCTTATAGCTTGATGCTTTGATTTATCTATCAAATGCCAATCGAAGGTGATACTATTTCGGTTACAAATTCAAGACCTTTGGTGAGAGTTCCGGAGACATGGAAAGCGTCATACCATTTAGGCAACATCCACGACGATTTGCGGGAGGCGGATTCCCAGGCCTCAATATATGGCGTTCGATCGATTGAAAATGAACGCGTTACTAATGCATTGATTATCATAAAAATTATTACACTGATGATACTATGGTGCTTCTTTACATACTACCTGGTGCTGCAAGAATCCAAGCCGATAGCCTCCGTGGTGGTGTTCATCCACCCGAACGAGACTCTGGTTCGAAGTGTAAAGCTGCCCCACGACGCTGCCAAGATCACCCTGAGCGGGTCCATCGACAAAACACTAACAGCCACTCCGGGCAAGGCTAAGAATGAACCCGCTGTTGGCCTCCGGGTGGAGTATCGAGACTCGGACCTGAATGAAACCTATAAGCAAACTGACATGTGGAATGTGTACTTGATAGACGATGAGGATAAGTATGAGACAGTGCACAACCTTTTCGAAATCTCTCCGGTTCAGGGTGATGCCAAAGCGGTTATCTCGATAGAAGGAAAGTCGTCGTTCCCGGTGGCCCTGCTACTGAATTCAGATGCCTATCCAGTGATATCAGACAAGGGAGTTATTTACGCCACGTTGTTGCTGTTTGGACTATATATACTTATTGTCTTCGAGGTGACGGACCGTACGTTGGCGGCACTGTTGATTGCCGCTGCTGCCCTTGCGATACTTACGGCTATTGGAAACAGGCCCACCATTCCCATGATCATCTCTTGGGTGGATTTCGAGACTCTGATGCTGCTCATGGGCATGATGATCATGGTGGCAATTCTTTCGGAAACCGGACTCTTCGACTGGCTAGCAGTGATGGCGTATAGGGTCTCCATGGGCCAACCCTGGGGTCTGGTCATATTTTTGAGCCTGTTCACGGCCGTATTCGCCGCTTTCCTTGACAATGTCACTATGCTGCTCCTGATGGCGCCCATTGCAATCCGGCTGTGCGAGGCCATGTCCTTGAAAGTGTCCCTGGTACTCATAATTGTGGTGGCCTACTCGAACATAGGTGGTACCTTGACCCCGGTAGGTGATCCTCCCAATGTGATTATTTGCACCAATCCGACCGTGCAACACGACAATATTAACTTTGTCAACTTCACTCTGCACATGCTGCCCGGAGTCGTTCTCTCCACGTTAGCGGGCTATGGCGTTATCTATGTAATGATGCGCCATACCCTTTTCGAACTCGATGAAAAGCAGATCCTGCTGGCGAAGGAGCACGAGATGAAGAGAGCCCTGCCCGATGAAAAGACCCTAGCACGAGTGCAGGAGCTGAAGAACCGGCCATCGCTGATGAGGTGCCTCAAGCCGGCTGAAAACTATTACATTGTGCTGGCCATCTTGGAGAACCAGTACAAGATACGAAACGTACCGCTTCTAATCAAGTCATTGATAGTTCTGACCTTCACCCTCGCCTGCTTCCTTCTGCATTCACTGCCCCAATTGCCGGGCGCCACCCTTGGCTGGGTAGGTGTCCTGTCTGCTTTCCTGCTTCTGATCTTGGCCAACATTAGTGACATCGAGATAATCCTCGCCCAGGTGGAGTGGTCGGCTCTTCTCTTCCTCGCCGCCTTATTCGTCATCACTGAGGCGGTGGAAGAGTTGGGCTTCATAGGTTGGCTGGGCGAAAAGACGGTCCAGCTGATAATGACAGTAGAGAAGAGACACCAGTTGACCGTGACCATAATGCTAGTTATCTGGATGACCGCCTTTCTATCCGCCTTCGTGGGAAACGTCCCAGTCACCGCCATGATGCTGAAGCTCGTCCTCGAGATATATCGCAACGAACAAATTGAAGTGCCGCTTTCGCCTTTAATTTGGTCGCTGTCCTATGGTGCTTGTCTGGGTGGGAATGGCACTCTAATCGGTGCCTCGGCGAACGTGGTGGCTGCTGCGATCGCGCACCACAACGGCTATAGGATCTCCTTTCTGTTCTTCCTTCTATACGGATTTCCTATGATGATAAGCATGGTTACGGTCACTTCTATATACCTTTTGATAGCGCACTCAGTATTCACATGGCCCCTGACCGAAGGCGAAGATTAAGCTTCTTGTAATTAATGGACAACCAAATTAAAGTGTCAGTTTGTAGATTTCATGTTTTCTTCATAAGTCTAGCATTTCTGCCCACTGTAATAATTTTAGCTTGGCATACTTTGGCGAACCACAAGCCACCACCAACAACTTCAGCTGCAATGACAATGCGTAGCCCGGCAGAATTCTTCCGCTTAATCGCACAATAATAGCTCAAGGGTGTTAAATATGCATAAACAGCAACAACAAAGGCTGAATAGATCTGTATGGTGGTGCACATAGCCACATTTAGTCTGGATGGAGTCCTTCGAACTAAATATGTGTAATCCCCATTGCCCTTGAGGAGCTACTATACCACATTAAAAGGATTTCAAGAGTGGCAAAATAATTATAATTGGTTGCAATTACCTAAATACGAATTATTAGGGGAATTTCAAATTAAACAAGCATTTGGGAGGGTAAGGAAGGTAAGTGTTGTTATTCCAGCTTATTAAAGCCGCTTCGCTATGTACCAGTACACGTGCAGCCATCGAGAAGGAATCCCCTGGCAGCAATCAAAGAAATTCCAGCGAAAACGCGAATAACAATTTCAACCCAGAGGGAAAACAAGGGCACCCCGATACAACAAACACATGCAATCCACCAATAAATCAACTAATTAAATATTCCAATTCAGCGCCAGAGTATTTGATTTTTGCAAATTTAAACAATACATTGAGTGGGGAGCAGGACCCAATCGGGGCCAACCCTTGTGTGTTTTGCATTTTGACTCTGATTCGATGTTGATGTAGCGACTCGAATCAACATCAGTAAATAACAACAGCAACAGATATGGGAGCACGCGACGACACGAAAAATGAGTGAAATCAAATGAAATGAAATGAAATAAAATAAAATAAAATACAATGAATGGAAATGGTTGATTGCGTTGGCGTTTTTTGGCTTTTCGAGGTTTGATTTTCCGTGTGGCAGACATGAAAGCGGCTTTGCATGTGCGACTCTGGCATACCGGTGCCAAAGCCAAAGGCCAACAGAAACAAAAATAATAATAAACCAAGCCAACAATGGAGCAACAGAAACACTAATATGTGGCGAATATGTAGCGACGTAACACTAATTACCTTAATTGTGGCGGGCGTGTAGAAACACTTGATGAAGGCGACGAGGACAAAACTTTAAGTTGGCCTCTGGCCTTTTGACTCGGGACTCAGGACTCGCAACCCACAACAGTGATGTCCTCGTGAAGTCATAAGACTATAAGAATAAAACAAAATTCTGAAGTGACAGTGACTTCAATTTTATTATCTGGGGTAGTATATGTACCTCTTAAATTTATTTATTAATTTAATTTACTAATTTTTTATTTAATCACGCTGCCAGCTCTGTTTATGAATGAAAACTCGTTACCCAGTTACGTGAATGCTTCGCGTAGTCATCGCGTGCCGTGCAACGTGTGGCCGGCGATATTACGTATACGCCAAGGCGACCAAATGTGTAGAAATAAAACATTAAATTACATTGGATTCTCCCGGTCTTGCTGCCTCGCTTGGCCATTGTCTCTGGATTTGACCCGAGCGGGGCAAAAGGACAGGGCTGTGGCAGGGGCAGGTGTGGCACACACGTAGATCGCGCACGTAACTGAAATTTTAAGCACTCTGCTGGAGAAGGGATGGGGGGCGCGGCATAGGTGGAGCTGGGATAGTCAGTCAGACCGCCGGCGGTTTCGTTTTGAAGTGGCCTTTAATAGTTGGCTGTCTGCAGCTGCCGCAGCCGAAATGGGAAAATGGAAAAGGCGGAGGAAAAGCTGAAAACTGAAAGCGGACCGAACACCGAGCACCGAGGACTGCGGACTGCGGCATATGAATGTGGCGTGTTGGCAAGCCAGAGAGCTGTTTAATAAAATGGCGTGGAAACAGAACTCATGCCCATACTCGGTGGCAAATGGCGTTGTTGCAACACGAACTGAAAGTGTAATTATGCAGATGCTTGAGGATCAACCACGGGCATGATTTATGTCTGCCGAACCGCACAAACTTCAGTCCTAATTACATCTGCAGCGAAAAAGCTTTCTGAGTAGGTAGTCCACATATGAAAATCCCAAGAAATCGGCTTTCGTCCTAGAAATCATGAATTAAACCAGGACGAGCCGCAAAAGTAATTAACTCGCCCCCGTGCGAATGCCCCAGGTCATCATCAATATCCCGACTTGTCACCTGCCTTTGGGATCCGGTGCTAACTCTCGTCTAATTTGTAGTTCACCTGTCCGCCCACACGACCACATCAGCAATTAAAAATCCTTTAGGCCGACATAAAAATGCCATTAAATCTGTTGGTGATTATCCTTGTTTTGGGAATGTCCGAATTGTTTGTTTGCCGGAGAGATGAGCACATGCAGATAGTAAACTCACTTCTGTAAATGATGAGAAGCTTAGTTAGAAGGGATTGTGGTTTTCAAAAATTAAAACAAATAATACCCAAGTTTCTGAACTAAACTGAAAGTAGGGGGAAGTTCTTTAATAATTGTTATAGTATTACGGAAAGTCCTTAAATCGATATATTTCTTTAACTATTTCCTTTGATTCTCGGATTTCCAATTTCATAAGTTTCCCCCTAATCTGTGGCAATAAAAATAATTGTTTACCTTGAAGGGCAGCCTAACACGATGCCATCCCCAGTCCCTACCCAAATATCCTTTGGTCACGCATCCTTGTGTCCGGACATAGTTTTCTCGGCTAATACACAAGCTGTGTAGGACGAGCCTTGACCATTGCCATATCTCAGTCGAGTTGTCCTTGGTCCTATTGTTATTTTGATAGTCCCATTGCATTTTTTACATAGCTCTCTGAGGCCGTCGTACATTGTTTACTGATGGTCATAATGATTACTTATTTCGAGGATTACTCCGCCGCTCTCGCTCCCTCCACAGAGTACAGCCTCGTTTTATTGGCATTGTTAATATTTGCTTTGTTGGCATCCTTGGTTTATTTGCTCAGGATTTGCAAGAATACCAGAAGAATCTTCTCACTCCGCCTTGCTATATAGACGCTCATTTAGTTTTATTGCGTATTTCGGATTGTGGCATTCGAAAAATTTGGCTGGTTGCTTTAGTATTTTAAAGATTCAGCCTCCAAACTCTTCACAAAAATGTAAGCTATGTTTGGCTTCTTTTACTTGAGGTTTTCCCTTAAAACTCAAAACTAGCCAATTGAAATGGCACAACCTTTTGCAGTTATTTCGGCAAACCTTTTCTCAGAAGTGCCAAATATTAATTAAAATGTATAAACAATTTATGACTGTGGCCAGGAGGAATAAAATGAGATGAAAATTATTATTTTTCACATTTCCAGATTCTCAAAATTGTTTTTCTCGTTTGATTAATGCTGTTCAGAAGTCAAAATGAATTCCAAATAGGCCAACATGGAAAGCAAGGTCCTTCGAAGAAAGTTTTTCTCCGGCCGAGAACGTCAGGATATACATAAATCACAGAGATGTTCATTAATTCGCCACTTGACAATTGGTCAATGCTCGCGATTTAAAATGCATTAAGAACGAGAAGAACACACAAAAAAGCGGTGAAAATTATACCAGCAAGGAAAAACAGCTCTCAACTGCCTGTCCTGGCCGCAGAAATGATTAATGACAAATTATTTTATGAGGCCAAAGAAAATCATGAGTCCAAAGCAGGTTGAGTATACAGCATTAATGTATTTAAATTATTATTACACGAGGCGAAGGAAATAAGGAAATTAAATGCTGGGAAAGAGAAAAGCAGGGAGGACGACCATTTGATGTGCTCCTCAAATAAGAAAAGCAAATAAATCATGAATATTAAGTTGCCCGGCGGAGAACAAAAGTCAATTGGGCAGAGTTCATTGAGTGAGAGTGGGTCGGAATGGACTTGGAATAGGCCACTTGAGAGCTCAACGGCTTAGAAAATAACCATCTCCGCTTCTCCACTGCCACTGTCATCCCCATGGTGCCTTCCATTTGATTAGACGACTGTCGTCCAGTTTGGTCCTACAGTTCCTCCATCTCGAAATACACTCGAGAGACACAAATGTTTATGCAATTGGATTCAATTTTTCGATCCAAGTCAACCCATCTCCCACATAAGCCCACATCCTGGTCAAAGATAAATCGATTAGTTGAGTGTGGGTCCTAGGAACCTGCTCTCCGGGCATTTTTGGTTTTTGTTTATTAAATTCTGAGCTAACTGGAAAATCCGCCCGGTGCACCAAACCGGAATTTCGAATATTTTTTCATATTCTCCTGACTCACTTATTGAATTTAGATTTTTTTCTTCTATGTGTGAAATTGTTTGGGTATTTTCAAATTGGTTTTTTCATTAAAAGGAATGTATAAAATTCATATGAATTTTTGATAATTGAAGTGGACTCTCCAATCAATTTAAGTCCATATGCCCGGAAACAAAACCATTCAAAGAATGAATATAAAAATACCCCTTTTTTAAGAAATCTCAGAAAGTGGAACATTCAATACATAAGCATTATAACAAATTTATTTCACTAAAGGCCAGCTTAGAAGGCTACAAAAGCTAACACCCCGTTGATGCCACCTGTTTGTCAAGTAAATGCAACGAAAATCTTATGGTTAGCATAAAACACACAATCCCCAAGCCGCAAATGAAAGGCCCGAAATCCAGGCTATACCAGGGCTCAACCGAAAAACACAGAGAGAAGCGAAGAAAAATATATACATTCCGAAAGGATGGGGCAGATGACTGAGAGGCGACTCGAGCCCTGTAATTTCGGCTAAGTGGGTGAAACAAATGTTGAGATTGCAGGCCAAAAATTCCGCAAAGGAAAAGCCCTTCAGTTCACCGACTTCTTCATATTTCCTTCTTCAGACAGAGTCGAGTGCGGCTTCAAAAACGAGGACAAAAAAGAAGCCAACAAATGACAAGCTATAAAAATTGAGTATACGCATTGGTTGCTTTAAGGATCAAAGGATACACACACACCCAGCTGGTATGAGTTTGTATTGTTGCGTACTTGTGTTTGATGGCATTCGATTGGCATTTTCAATGTATGTAAGTG